GTGGTAGGGCCACGCAACACTGTTGCACCAAAGGGCAGGTCCGTACGAGGAAGTACCACGACCTGACAGAAGAATGGCGTGAAGTAGAAGTGCTATACCTCTGCGTTTCGTATGGTGAGTGTGGCACCGGGCCCCACTTTATCAAAAGGTAACAACGCATCTGCAACCCTATGGGTGTTGCAAATGTCAATGGGCGGCGACTATCACTCAAACCCAGTTGAACCACCAGCTGTTTTGCCACCTTCTCACATAAAACTGTAAGGTTCGTTAGTCCATTGAACTTTTCGATTGCTTTCTTAATATACGATGATTTCTGTCCACTTATCAGAGCCAATTTAAACACACAGCCGCCTCACAGTTCGAACTCCCGTTGCGCATTTTAATTTGGGTGCGCGTCAGTCGCGATTCTTTGTCTTGGGCCACAGGCGTATCTGCGTTTTGGGCGCCCGCGATAAAGGGGCAACGGTTCATATTTCACACATTCGTTTGAGAGCCCACTCCCTGTGATTTGTTGTGTCCGCTGACAATCGGGCCGAGCGCGTTTTTTTTTTTATTTCACCCCCTCCGATACTTTGTCGCGCGGCGAACTGTGTAATGTGCAAGTTGTGACAGATTTTCCTTCGTAATCTGGGACACCAGCCTTAATGTCGGCTTTGCAGTAAGCGATCCCTTTGTTGTGTTGATGTTATAATAATTACAGGTTGGCTTCTATTAACATTACTAGGGTAGGAAATTGCTGGTTGAAATATCAGTTTTATCCATCTTACTTCACGTAAACATGTAAGCCTGTCTTAGTATGACGTATAGGGCTCAAAGGTAAGCAGAATATTTTTGCAAGTATGATATTTAATGTAGGAAGCTACGATCGCTACACGAATCACCCTAGGTCACAACTGTTTATTTGTTCAGCACAGATTTCAAACGTCATCAACATTAACGTGTAGAATGTAAGAGATTAGAAGTTACTGTTAATATAGATATAGATTATATATAGTATATTATATATATATATATGTATCATAACGTCAAATTTATACTCTAAAGCCGAGTCAATGAAAGGAAACAAATTATCGATCCAAAGGTATTCGCAAGGCCTCATTCTCGTTCACGATGCATTCGTTATCGCATAAAGAAGTGCGGCGGAAAGAGGTACACATATAAATATTGAATGTAAACGTTAAATGAAATATACCTGATACGTGGGCAAGTGATCCCGGTTGTGAACGGATGATCACGGCTTTGAGAGTCGCGGGAGTGCAAGTATGGAAGGCACTTCTCCATGCCTGTCGCTTCGCTAGATATTTTGAGTAAAAACTTTTTATTGTATGTCAGTTTCCTTTGTGAAATCCCTCAATTTATTTTATAATAATCCAAATGTTCTATTACTATAATTATGTGAAATGTTTTTTGAAAATTTGTATCAGAGTTTTAATCCTTAAAAATTCTGTAAGGTTACTGACATTACAAAATTGTGATGTAGTATATGTCGTATATAGAGGATTAATGTAGTATTTTTTGCACAGGCATACTAATTTTGCAAATATTTTTTGTCTTAAGTATAACTGTTGAATATTTTTTGGTTACGGGAGAAGTTTGCAAACAAGCAGACGAGGTTTACCGATATTAAGATATTGAAGTGATCAGCGCCGTCGTTGCAGTTACGATGTCAACATACAAAAGTGTGGGTCTGATTACCTCAGTCACTAGGTAAAACGCAAAGACATATGCATGTCTTGCTTGACATTCACCCAGGAACAACTGAGCTTGTGACTCCATCGATTAATGTCATCAAGAACATGTACGAAAATTTCAAAGCTCAAAATCCATCTCCACATTAACCGTGCATCGAATAAAACCTTATATGAGCTACTAAATAGTCATGTTTATTCGATGATAAAAGTCACTGTCCCTTGAAAAAACGACAATAAATATATCAAAAGTCCTTTTTCTGCTACATTTTGATGCCTTCAACGCAACTTATGCGTCCGTACGGTGCTCTAATGAAACCTCTTAGAGATATTAAATTCCTCTCGATTTAAGCCCGGGACATGGTTTATGCGTTGGACGGTCGTGGCTTTCACCGCATTTTTTCCTCACCATGGGAACTTTTGACGTCTGTCTTGGTCTATCGGAGCATCAGCCGTTTGATGCTGAAAATACTACGATGATTAGGACCTGTCGACTGGCCTGATTTTACAACGATCGTTCTCAGAGACCGCAATTAGAAATTGACTAAACTTAAGTTCATACATTTGAAAACTTGAATCCTTATTTAAAATTACCTAATAATAAAAATCTACTTAATTGAAATGAATGAGTAAGCATTAAATGACGTTCTCAGTGTATCTTCAAAAGGATTGACTTTATTGAACATTTTTTATTGATAAGATAATGGATATGGGATGCGGCATCGCATCCTCTATTGAAAATCATGTTTTTTACCAGCTCGGAAACTTTTGCGACCAATACGTACATTAAAAAGGTTTACTGCTATAGAATAGGAGATGGACAAATCACCACATGGTATAAAACAAGGTCGTCCCGGTGTCTGTCTGTCCCTATGTATACTTAGATCTTTAAAAGGACGCAACGGATCTTGATGCGGCTTTTTTTATTAGATAGAGTGGTTCAAGAGGAAGGTTTATTATATTTATAATACATTGCACCCGCGCGAATCCGGGGCTGGTCGCTAGTAATGAGCAAACGAAGGATGGTAGTGTACCATAATGTTTTAGTATTGCTTAAACTGGCTGTCTCTTGGCACTAGCAGTGAGATATCTCATAAGAAAGAAATGTAAATTTAGGTATACATGTTTATAAATTTGATTTCTCTCCATTCATATAATTTATCATCAATTTTGTAAATCATAATCTTATACCGAAATATGGCCGCTCGCGACATCGTAAAAAATTTAACTTCTGATTTAAAAACTCGTAAAGTTGGCCGTAAAGACGTGTAATCTAAATCGATTTAATAAATAAAACGCTCTTAGGTCTCTTAATCGACGTTATCTCTCCAGAACGGGATAAACAGAGTTTATAAGGTAAAGGTGTCCTGACAAATAACACATGACTACATCATTAACATAAAAATTATTTCGTAAATGAGATTATTTGAACATGTAAGTTTCTATTTTGAAACATAACTGTTTCTGACTATGAACTGTGATTATAATCGAAAGCCACGTTACAATACACAGGCACTCTAACTTCTAAGCCAATCATATCAAAACGGCTTTATTTCTGAGTCAAACGCCGAGAACAGCGTCGAACGCACAGAAACGGAGAGGTTTTGAAGTCAGCTGATCTATTGTAATTGCGATGGGGGCTTATAAATAAAACGCTCCGCGAAGTGCGTACAAAAATTCGTTTTCTCAACAACAATAAAGTATATCAATCAGGCGTATTTATGGCGCGGAACTAAAGCAGCCGGCTTTTTCGGTATAAACCGAATAAATTAGAATGAAAGCTAAATATTTAACTGACTTGTATACGACGGGCACCTCTTAAATGTATCGCATAAATTCGACCGAGTAAAAAGTCGTCAACTCTCATACGAAAGTTTATGCGGATAAGACTTTTACTGATTGATCTCGTAGTAATATTATATTGTTAACCTATTTAAAACGTGAAGTTGTTCGAGTGTAATTCGATCCGTCAAGATTTAGCATTTTCGATATCAGTTACGCAAGTTTAATTAAATTGATTGATAATCAGGATTCATTAATAAATATTTCATATTTTTAAATCATAATAATTATTTTTTTTTTGTTTATGATTTTATTATAAATGTAAAACTAGTAGACAAATATTCATCGATAAGAAGTCAAAGTTCATGGAAAGGTCGGGGCAGTATAATTAAACGTGGAATATTTTAAAACAAGCACTTCAGTATATCCAAACATAACTTCCTTGTCACTTAATATTTTCTAACAATTTTTCTAACGGCATTCTACTATTATTTCCAAGGCGCCTTATCCACCCTTTCCTCAACCGGGTCACCCATTAAACGCAATAGTTACGGGTACAAAATTTATTGTTTTTCATCTTTGAAATCTTAGCGGAGTCAAGTTGTATAAATCATGCGTTAATGCCGGCGCATTATACAAATTCAAATTTATAACCCGATAAAATTACAGAATGGCCGATGGGGAGTCCCCACCCCTTGCGAGAGGGCGCTATCATTACGGACAAACTAAATGCGGCTTTAATTCACGTTTCGCACAGTTTCTGGCCGGGCTTATTATAATTTTGGGTTACGCCGGCACCATATTTTCAGAATGGCGCCGTACGATTGTTATCTTCGGGGCTATCGTGAAGAGCCTTGCACAATATAAAAAAAGCAATTCAATCTTTTGTTATGACACAGTCATATGCAATAGAATTGAAATCAACCTGTTGTGATTTGAAGTTGTGAAGGAATGTCGGTTTATATTAACTTTGGACGTTTTTAAATTAACCTATATTACTTACTTATATTAAACCATAATATTGGATATATTATAAGACACTCTCTATATTAAATGTCTTGCATGCAATGTATGTACAGCATGTTTTTACAAATAAAGACTATCAATCCATCTATAACTATAGCTGCCGAGTTCCATCATCGCTACACACGTTCACGCACTGCTGCATTGTGTACCTACTTAATAATCAACAATTATTAGGATCAAACTTTCAAATCTTTGTTGAGAATATCCATATACGCCTTGAAATCTTTATAAAAAGCAATTCATCAAGGATACAACATCTTTACTTAGTATAGTATAGTCACGCTCGCCGTTTGTACACTTTGACCTTTAAAACTACAAAACGGATTTTAATGCAGTTTTCAGCAATAGATAGAGTGATCCAAGAGGAAGGTTTATATGCAGTATGCCTGCACCGTGCCCAATTACCCCCCCCTCCCCCCTGTGCAAAGCCTGGGCGGGTCGCTAGTAGTATAAATATTATGAAATAATATCACCACTCATACCAGTAACTGTGTCGTTTGCGATATGAGTTCCGAGCCCCTGAGCATCGGGTTCAAATCCCTCAAAAATCCCCCAAAAGCCCCCCAAACCATTCCGCGGTAATTACCAACCGCCTGTTTGATTTATGCGGACTCCGTGCCGCGAACCTCTTTTCTTCCCATTCACGTCTAATTGAATGATCAAAATCGGATGGAAGTCAATGCGATCGCGCCTTTGTCCCCGCTGCCGCTGAGACAAAGGAATCAATCGGTGCGGCCTCGCCCGCTCAATACCCGTTCTGTCTCTGTTTTTAATCTGTGCCCGTCTTTTCAATTCTCCTGAACCCCCTTATAATGATTTCGATTGGACAGGCCACATTCAAACGGGAGAAAAAGAAGTGTTTAGTTCTTGGAGCCGTAAAGACAACGTGCTTTTTGTACCGCCGCGATCCATGATGAGTTTCCTCGCTGTATGGGAGGAAACTTATCGTGATGGTCTTCCAGCGATGCTTAATGAGACTAAAAGAGAAGATTGATTCTCATCAATTGATTGATTCTCATCAATCTTCTCTTTTAGTAGGTGAGGCCGATGGATACCCGTTGGTTTCTCTTCCTTCCGAAGCGCTTTAATGTTGAAAGAGAATGGGAGCAAATTCTCATCAATGTAGCGTAGACAAATAGGTGTGATTCAATAGCTTAAATTTATAATTAACACTTTAATGTATTACGCATAATACATAATTGTACATTTATGTCATTAAAAACCAGTGCGAGTCTTTTTTTTACGAAGCGTTCCGTACCACTATGTATAAAAACGTGAAACAATCATGTCTATTGTATGGGAGCCCCACTTAAATTTACATTTTTTAAACTGTTTTTTAGTATGTGTTGTTATAGCGGCAACAGAAATACATCATCTGTGAAAATTTAAACTGACTAACTATCATGGTTCATGAGATACAGCCTGGTGACAGACGGGCAGGCAGACAGACAGCAGAGAGTAGTAAGGTAATAGGGTCCCGTGGATACGGAACCCTAAAAAAAGATAATAAGACCACAGGGTCTCTTCTCCGGACAGGTGTAGTTTAGTGATCCGTTTGTAGTTTTTTGAGTTCATTAAGAGTTTAAAATAAATTTGCCTTGAACCAAGAAAATTCGACTATTTTTTAAAGTCAGACAATGTGTACGTGACGATTATTTGGGCATTAATAGACTATTAAGTGCCTGGTTCTGAGGTTTTTTGAACCTAGAGAGATAACTGTGCATAAATTTCGAAGCATTAACTCCTAAAATATACGCGTAATAAAGCTTATTATGTAAGTATGTTAGCATTTTACTTGACGCCACTGAATTTCGATGCGATATTCTAGCCACTAGAGCATCACAAACCAGTTATGGTGTCAAAAACCCTTAGCAATGTACGAATGTCAGCAAAAAAGCTCAGACACTTAGTTTGTCAGTTCTATATTCCGAACTAAAAGTTATTTAAGTTATTTAATCCTTCAGTTTGTCTCATTAAAAGCCTCGGGACGATGCCAATACTGTGACTAGGGACAGGAAAAACCGATTTAAACATCTCATAAAATTTTTATGTAACTACACTTTCTTGCCGGTACTTGTTCAGTAGCCAAAGTCTGCAAAATCTCTTTTGTATTATGTTATAAATTCGAATACATCGCGAAATGTGTAACTCATATCGGCTGTGGGGTCGACGTCACAACGAATGGATTTCACATAATTGTAATGATGAGTACTAACGATTGTCCCGGGGTTACTGGAGGCAATTTTTTCTCATTTGCATTGTATTCGCATATGGATAATAAATTTTATTCACCACGTGGGCTTTTTAATTTAATTATAGAGCTTTGAAAAAAATATAAAATGCACAATTTGTTTTTTTAAAAATTTACCATACACTCCTCTCGAATGGACATTATTAGAGACAATTTTATAATGATATCTAGCCTTACCTTTGATCCAATTTGAAGCCCGAAACCGTTCACATATAAGGAAGTCTAGCAGATGGATTTATTATTTTTGATTTTAATGAGACAAATGTGTTGCCCAAATCTTATTTAGGCTAATTTTTTTTATGTGTATAGGTGGCAAGTGAGTTGCCGGTTCACCTAATGTTAAATGATAGCCACCGCCAATGGATATTTGCAACACACGTTGGGTTGCAAATGTGTTGCCACCTTATAATAAAGCAGGCCCCGGCTACCTTACTCACCAGATAAAATGCAGAAGTATAACCCTTCTTCATCACACCGGTATTTTGTCGAGGTCGTGTTAATTACAGGTTCGTACCCGCCCATTCGTGAGCCATAAATAATTTAAATATTTTTAAATAATTTTCTTTGTTGATTGTGATTTTTATTCATTCATTAGATTCACTTCATCAAGCTATAACAACCGCTCGAACGCAACAGCTTACTTGTTAAGTACAAGTAAGCTGGTGCGTTCTTAGCCAGCGAAAGCTGCAAAACTTCAACAAGCGACTCAACCTGCCGGGAACCGAATGTGGGTCTGCAAAGGCGCCATCAGCTAAGCAGCACTGGAGCATTCCAGACAATAATTCACGATTGAAAACGTATCAGTTAACGGCCGCAAATCCGGACCGGCGGGGACGGGCGAGAGGAGATGTACCATATCTTTTGATGCTGATAGATTTATTGCCTCCTCGCGGCTATGATAAGACGTCCGCCAGTCACAAAGCGCGGCTGATTTATTTACGCGCCCGCCGCGAGGGGTGCGCGACGCTCTTTTATTGCGCCGCGGATATTTCGTTCGCCTTAATTGTGAGCTCGTAAATCGCGAAGTCACGGTGCCCCCGTCCGAATTTTAATCAGGCCGGTTGCCGATGCGAAGGAAAACGCTTAATCCGGCTGCAGTCGCAGCATCTGGCGTGGCGTGACGCTATCCGTCTTACGTTTGACACGCCGTGTGCCGTAGCATAAAATGAACAATCTGCTACGACCGAGGATGGACGGTGGAGGAAAGCATCGTGGGGTAACCTGCATATTTTCGAAATAATAACAAAAAAAATATTTTTTAGGTATGTGAAATCCACCAACCGGCAATGGGGTCGCATGGTGGACTATGCCCTGATACCCTCTGTACAGAGGAGGCCTTTGCCCAGCAGTGGCACATTTATAGGCTATTACTATACGACCAAAGAGTTTTGTTTGCATAGTAATAGCTCTGCCACCTTTTATAAAAAATTGCCTCGGTTACCCCACCTCGCGAGACGATACGCAGTAATATTTCCACTTCTTTGTTAGTCCCATGTGAGGCCGTGGCTGCCCCGGACGAGCCTGCCCATTTTCATATAGCAAAGACCGCTGAGTGCACATTTTTTGACGTCAGATCACTGACACTCCTGTCTTAAGCAACTGCGCAAGCTTGTGCAGGGAACATCACTAATGGACAATCACTAGATAGATATATCCTAAGCGTGTTGCCAACCATCGAGGAGCTGGAGCTCTCTCACCCATATATCGCAATATACCATAAATAGGTACTTATGTACTGCACGAGTTGTGTAAGCTGTTAGCTGCACGGCCTTTATGTGCCATGTGACATTCTTAGGAACAATCGGAGACGGCACACGGAGGCGCGTACGAACGCGATTTACATAAAACGATCTCTCTAACAAGACGAAATTTCACACTCCAATTACGGAGGTGTGCGCTCGGTCAGATTCTGCACGCAACGTCGCACGGCCCGCGTGGGTGCGTTTAGGATGACGCGTGACGGATACGTCACGACATGCTCAAAACAATAAAGCGAATATTAAGAAAAGGCAAATTTTGTCAATGCTATCTCTTTCTTCTGTATCGGTCATAAACACTTGCTACTATGATACTTAAATGTCATGAAATGAGTTGTCATTGTCTCATTTAAATCAGATTATATGAATATGTTAATTCAGTTATATTTATAAATGAAACTAATTTTACGGATTTTACGGGTTCGAAACGTCGGGAACTTAAATTAAAAATAAACGCGATAAATCCGTAAAATTAGTTTCATTTATAATGTGTAATCGCGTAAATACAAGAAATTATCAGTTATATTTGTTCAAATTTCAAAGTTTCATTCCAAAGACTATTTCCTTTTATAATTAGTCATAGCTCCGCCAAGCGACGGAACGTAACCAAATGCAAACAACTCACCAATCAAAGACTTAGAAGGAGTCAACTTCCTCAGTAAAGTGATAACGATTAAGAAGAAAAAAAGAAGAAGTCATTACGAATTACGATAGCTTAATTATTTCGACTTCGGTTGAATGTCATAATATCAATATATATAACATCAACAGTTCTAATTTTATGAAAAGTATAAGTAAACACCCTGGCTTCTATTGTACTTTATTCGTGACAATAAAACTATATAAATTTTTCCAACCAAATCGCATATCTACAGTCACCAACAAATTTGCCTGTTGCGTTACGTAGTCGTGTCGTGACCTAGTAAAGGGCTTTCACAATATTGTGCAGCGCTAATCCCGCGTGAAGGAAACGATAAATCACGCCGTTAAGTCGAAAAAACCGGCGGCGGTGTGGACGCGCCTTAACAACGAACATGTCTACGCGGTTCACTTGAATTACCCTTGGTAATTAAATAAGTAATATATGTGTATCCTTAGTGTAGTAACGGCCGTTATGTGTCCCACGGATCGACACCTGATCCGCGACGCTAAACTTGAATTCATTAAAAAAAACATTTAAAATTGGAAATACATTTATGTTTTTAATTCGACTTAAATTGGACTTAAAAGTGTGTTTTCAGCAAGCTCACCTTTGTTTTTTATAGGTGCGAAGATCTCTAGTAATGGAACCGTTATTTTGTCAGTTTATGGTACCTAAACAATAATGTACCTACTTATCTATTAAATTTATCCAAGTACTTATACCTAGGCAAAACAAATTTTCCTAGTAAATTCAATAAGCTGATGTTAGATAAAAGTAAACAGCGCAAACATTCGAATATCATTTGAAATGTTTTTCGTTAAGCCTAAGTCAAGCTCCTATCCCCAATTTACGACTTCTTAAGCCGTTTTAAAATCGTCTAACAATATTGTTTTCAATAATAGAATTAATCAAAAGCAATAAATGAACAAACGTTACAAAATACATTCAATTGTTCACATAAGTATTGTTATAGATATTACCCGTCATCGCAGTCAGTTTTTAAGGTAACCGTACATATTGAGGTAACTCGAATTCGTCACGTATTCACCGGTCGTACCCAGTGTTAGCGGGATCGATTCCGGAACGACGATGTGGGACGTGTCCCTTCGGCTCGTTAAAAAAAGCCGCCCGCGGCAACAAATCAAACTCAGCCCGCGCGCCGTGGACTTTTTCCCGGGCGACGCCCCAATCCATCTGCTCTCGTCACAAATCAACAAGACGCATGCTTTCCGGCCCGGGTTCGAAGCCGCCGCTAATGGTGCCGTCCGATTTATTAACTACGCAACACGAACACGTTAATGTTGTTAGGGAAAATGGTTGAATAGAACATTATTTGGATGCGTGTGTGGGTGCGTGTATTTACTTTTCCATTCGCCATTACTTTCGCGGGGAAACACTCGAACGTAGAAAATTCGCAAGCGAGATTGATTTATTCGTCTCGATTGACGCTTTTTAAGGTGGTTGACGTATTTTATTTCGATGTAATATAGTAATTAGGACTTTTAGTGATATTCCAGTAGAATATATAAAAATAGAAAAAAAAGAAAAATAGTTACATTAAAATGACGTAAAGACTAACATTGAAAGAATCCTAGAAATATATTATGTTTCTGAACATCTATATGTTCTCTTGTGAATCGAAATTTCACCTTCCCATTAGGTTGAAACTTAGTTGACCTTGAAATAAAGTGAATATTATTAGTCATTTATGAAAAAAACAAAGTTAAAATCAAAATATCTTTATCCAGTATAGGATTAACTTCAGCTCTAATTCAAAGTCAAAAAAAGAACAGTCCCGAATCTATTGCTTACAGGAGCTGGCTAAGATGAACAGTAGACACGTATATCTTAACTTTCACGTATTACAGAAGCATAATGTTTACTCGTTAAACGGGTCAGACAAATGACACAACAAACGCACCTTACGCAAACGTCAAAGACGGCCGCATCGTTTGAGCCATAACTAGAACATAAAATGGCGGTTTCTTTGCGCGCCCTTTTGTTGTAACCGCGCGTCTGCCACCGCTATTTGTTCGGCGTTTAATCGTCCCAGTCGCGAGGAAAGCTCTTATATGTCACATTATACAACAATGTACGTACTCAGAAACACACCGACGCACAGATAAGCAATGATAAGAAGACTTTGTTGCAATAGCAGATTTATATGTAACAAAGTGGCAAACGAGCTAGCGGCTCACCTGATGTTAAGCGATAACCCCCACCCATGGACATTTGAAACACCCGTAGGGTTGCAGATGCGTTGCCAACTTTTAATAAAGTGGGCCCCGGCTACCTCACTCACCAGACAAAACGCAGAGGTGTAACACTTCTACTTTACGTCGGTCTTCTCTGAGGTCGTGGTACCAACCCGGACGGACCTGCCCATTCATGCAACAGCGAATATTGTTGCGTGGCCCCACCACTGCTAAAAAGAAGATTGTAACGAGTTGAGTACACTATTACAAATAAATATATTCTCCTTCAATGCACCGACATCTACTCCGTAGTTTTTCGAATTTACGCGCGCTTCGGCTAACTTCGTCGGATTCGTTGTCGCGTCGTAAGCGCCACCGTAGTATAGTGCCCGCCCCGGCCATATTACTTTATTGTCTACCTACGCTGTATGTAGTTAAAAAACGGTCGCAAAAATCAAATTGTTCATGTAAACGTTCATTAAATTTGTGAAATAAGAGTCTTCGTGTTTACCTTTAACCACCTTCTATGCTAAGAACCATTACAAGATTGATTTGTCAACTCCATTTCACGTACACGTTTTAGGCTGTAAAGTGGTAGGAATATTTTAAAGTTGTATATACGTTAACAGAACGATTGTAAAGATGAGTGCTGCCTATGCAATAACCTGGTTTTGATGGCAGCGTTGTTACAGATTCAACCGATTGTCTTTTAAAAAATTATGAACCTTTAAACCCCGTTTTAACAACATAGCTTATTTAAAAAATAAGTGAAACAATAGGTCAGTCATTTAATCTAATACAATCCAGCAACCTGAGTTCAATCCCAGTGCCGTTAGCAATGAAATTGTTAATTTTAAGTACTGATTTACCACGTGCTCAGCGGGGAAGAAAAACATCGTGAGGAAACCTGAATGTTTTCAAAATATTAACAAAAAATATTAGGAAGACATGTGAAGTCCGCTAATCCGCAGTGGTGTAGGACTATGCCCTGATAATGTTATTTTCCTGTTTTTATATGAATACCCATATTTATATCTGTTTACCATGTTGTCATTAAGAACTTAATGGTTAATGTCATGAACTATTATGGACGTAACAGTCTTCGCTGTTACATGAATGTGCAGGTCAGTCCGGGTTAGTACCACGAACTCACAGAACACCGGCGTGTTTGTTATACTTCTGCTTTTCTTCTTGTGAGTGAGGTAGCCGTGGCCCACTTTATTAAATGCTGGCAACACATCTGCAGCCCTACTGTTTACACTCTCAACAAGGGGACTGCATGAAAGTATTTTACGGTTTAGTTTACATTTAATGGCGTTTATGTTAAAGAAATCTTGAATGTTAGACTTTGTTAAAAACGAAACACATGTACAACGTAGAAAGTACAGATATAAATAACAGTGTTTAATTATTGAAATCCATTAACACACCTCCATTACTAAAGAATTAAGTACAGGCCGAATTGGATTAGAAAATGTAATTTTTACCAACTTTTCCTTTATCAAAGATGAACTAAATAAATTTCATTTCTCCTTCAAGCGGGAAATTATTTGATTCACCCCACCCCGTGTACAATGATCTGGAGTGTTTTTTTTTTTCTCTTCTGTTTCGCTTTTCAGTTCCTTTTTTCTTGGAGACTGTTTAAGAATAAGGGCCATAAATTTCGGGAGTCTTTTCGCTGGGTAGGTATGTATGTACAGCGTTATTTACTGTTATTCCGTTCTCTTAAATGTACTTCTCTATTACCGACTTCTGTAACGAGGGGTCCCGTTCATTTGATTCCGCCTCTCGCAATGTTTTATGCGAATTTGTTCAACTGTTTTACTTTTTCTTAAATAATTTGTAATGATTGCAGATTTGCTCCTAGAATGTTTCTATGGCAAAAAATATCGAAATTAGGCTCCCGTAACGTTTCTACAGAAATTGATTTATGACCAAGCGATAGATAGATAGGTACGCAATACCTGATGATTAGGGATTGCGGCGCGGTTGCTGCCATGATGATATTTCTAGGCACATTCGTTGTATGTAACCGTTTCGATTTCGTACATGGGTTCTGATTTATTTTTTAGTAACGTCAACTGATCAATTTGGTTAATTAGGATCTAGAAGTCGTACAATTTAAATGTTTACACTAACTACAATAACCATTCGTCCCAATAAAGATTATAGCCAAAGGAGATATGTTTCTGTGTGAATTTCATATGAATTATGAACTTAATTTGTAAGATAGGTGCGTTGTTAGCTGCGATTCTTGAAGTTGGGTCCTTATTTTATATTTTATTCATTTTACTAACTGTAAAATGTTCTCTCCTATAGATGTAGCATATAGTTACAGATTATACATTTTATACCTTACTCCAAAGTTATCGGATATGCGTAACGTCAGATTAAGAGGAGTGGAGATGCCTTTTGTGAGCCGAACACTCACGCATGCTGATATAGTGCACGATTTCTAATTGATAACAACATTAATTTAAAATTACATTAATTTGTAGTGCGTCAACTATAACTTCTTAGAACAATTCATCGTTGTTTCGTCCCAACTAACAACTAACGTACCAGCTAACTCTCGTGGGGTAGCTCACCGATGCACAGAATATTTAGAAGTTATTAATTACCCAACGAATTTCCCGGACCGGTAAGACTTAGGGACCTTCTATAAGAGAGCCTATTCCTACCTCAAAGGTCAGCAACCCATTTGTAACTTATCTAGCGTTACTAATATCCATGAAGGGTGATCAGTTCAAGTGAAGTGCGGCGCTTACTCGTTTTCATCGTTTTTCATGAAATAAAATGTGAGGTTTATGGGCTGAAATAAACAGTTATTAATATTATTAATGTTACGTTTAGCAGTAAAAATCCAAAAGTCTACTAGTCAGGTTATTATTAGTTAGCTTAGTAGGCTAACTGCTGATGTGTTTTTATGTTTAAATATTTCACTTATGAGAAATTCACAGAAGCGATAAGAAATACATTTTTATCTTAAAGCATAAAAAAATTGTAGAAGAAAAGCACGAAAATTTTCTTACCGCTGTGGAAATCTAATCCACAGCTTCCGGATTCATAAAAATAACAAGCTAATTTTTTTAAGTGTAAAAACCACAGCTCCAAATCCACGGAATCACCAGTAGTGATGGGTTTTAAGTGGTATGATATCAATATCTCAGCTATCTTTTTCTAATCCGATAGCGTTAAGAGGCACAAGATCACAAGTTTTAAGTAATTCAATAGATTCTCCATAATCTCGAATATATAAGCTCCACTCAAATCTAACGGCAGCAGCGAAATCCCATAACCCTTATATCCGTCAATCGCCATTTCATAAATATGCACGCCATTTCCGAAAGGCGCCCTCTGATTAGACCTGAATAATAAATTCAATTTGCCCGGGTGGCCATCAAATATTTTCCCCGTGATAACGTTTCTATATTTGGACGGGTGGATCTTGGAAATAATGGTGTTATTTAGGGTCTTGCAATATGCTAAGATAGTAGGCTGGCAGCATTAACAAGTCAGGAGATGGTTGCGCTCGGGTGCGGACAAAGGGAACCGTGGAGTCGGATTGCACCAGGAAAGCTTAATAAGATTATCAATTGTAAAAAGCTCCTCTGACTCTCTGTCTTCGAGTAGAATTTCAATGAAGAAAAACTTGTAGAATTCGCTTTAAAATTAACACATGAACATAATAATAGCTTTAAATATTGTAGCTTTAAACCACAAAAACATAATTATTGTTTATATGTGCATACAGATGAACTTTTTGTTCTACTAGAAACAGAATGTTTTGGTGGGCCGTATGCCGTTATATAAATAAATCTACATACCAGTAAAACACGTTCGTAGTTAACATTCTTATATTCCAAATATAAATACACACAAAGCCATCGACGGTTACTTTTGGGCGATCGTACAATTTTAGAATAGAATATCCTGATTCGGTTGTTTTTACTAGATAGAGTGATTCAAGAGGAAGGTTTATATGTATAATACATTGCACCCGTACGAAGCCGGGGCGCTAGTAAAGAATTAATATGAAAGCGCCAATAAAATTACAAGCAACGTCGACTCCACGGATCCGGCAGAACAATTTTTACGACA